GAATCATTTTGGTGATTCCTCAAAAAGTTAAAGAGAATTACCATGTGACTCAGCAACTCCACTCCTAGGTATACAACCAAAATAATTGGAAACAGGTCCTCAAACGGGTACTTGCGCTTAAATGTTCATAGCAACACTGCACAAACGACAAAGCTGGAAGCGGCTCAAATGCCCAACAGCTGATAAACAGATAAACACCGTGTGGTGCACTCGCAACGGACACTGTCCAGCCGTGACGGGCAGCAAGGTGCTGACATGCTACAAGGTAAGTGATTCTTGAAACACTGCTCAGCGAAAGAAGCCAAGCCCTGAGGTATTCATGCAAAACATCCAGAAAGGTGGTGGGGCCCCAGCATGGGGAGGGAGGAATGGAAGCCACTGCTTGGGGCACACAGGCCATCTTTTGGGGGCGATGAACATGTTCTGGAACTAGATAGTGGTGATGGCTGCACCACATTGTAAATGTACTAAATGCCACTAAATTTTAACTTTAAAATGGCTAATGATTAATTTTGTCATGTGAATTCTACAATAAAAAAAAAGGAGAGAGGGGTCCCCTCAGGGGAGAAAAGTAAGAGAGACTCAGAGACCTTGGGGGTCCCATTTCCTCAGAGCCTCTCCTGGAATCTGCCTCCAGTGCTTGATGCTGGAAACGGTGCTTCCCTTTCTCCGAAGGCTGCGAGTGCCACTGGGGCAGTGACTAGGCTCAATTCTCACACAGGCTTCCTGGGACTCAGGTCAACATTTCTGAGGTGGCCCAGCCAGCGTGGCTCAGGTGTTGAGCGCCGACCTAGGATCCCGGAGATCACGGTTCGATTCCTGGTCAGGGCACATGCCCGGGTTGCGGGCTTGATCCCCAGTGGGGGGCGTGCAGGAGGCAGCCGATCCATGACTCTCATTATTGATGTTTCTCTCTCTCTCTCCCTCTCCCTTTCTCTCTTTGAAATCAATAAAGACATTTTTTTTTAAAAAAAATTTCTGAGGTGTCCTTGCCTTCTTTCTCTCGCATGTCCCATACTCAGCCTGAACAGAAAATCATGTGGTTTCAGCCTCTGCTTGCAGCCTAGCCATAGAGCCCAGGGTCTCTCCCAAGGACTACTGCGATCACCTCCTCCTGCACCTCCTCCCTGCTTCCCTCTGACAGCCTGTTCTTATCATAGCTGCCAAGCACTCGGTTAAAACGTAGATCAGATCACGTAGCTCCCCGGCTCCCACCTCCCTCACAGCACAGCCACAGCAGGGTGTGGTCCGCCCCATCTGCTTCTGACCCCGCCTCCTATCCCTCTCCCTCCCGTTCCCTCCCATCCGGCCACACCGCCTTCCTCACAGTGGCTGCAACACCCCGGAGGTAGCATGCCTCGTGGCCTTTGCTCTTGCCCACCCTTGTTTGGAATGCCCTCCTGGACGCCCACATAGCCCACTCCCTCACTGCCCTCAGCTCACAATCACTTCATAAGATCTTCCATGACCCACCCCGCCTTCTAACATACTATATAATTGACTTGATTTTAATGTCATTAGCTGACTCCCCACCTAAATGCCAGCTTCAACAGAAGATCTGGGCTTTTTTGTTCCATCCTGTCTCCCTGCATCCAGAACAGAGCATGGTGCTCACTAAACACTTGCTGTGTAAACATGTCCGGAGCACCGCCTAGCTCAGGCCAGGAGAGGTGTCAAATCTGCACGCAGCACCCACGGCAAACTGTTACTGTGGTCAGCAGGAGGCAGAGCCCTGGCTGCCCAACCCAACCACTAGCCTCAGCGGGGCCACCTCCGAACCTTGCACACAGGAGGTGCTCAAGAGACATTTGCTTCTCTGAAAGGATATCATCTGTCAAACATCAGGCTACAGCATCGTCCTCAGTACCGTTTAGTAAGCATTGAAGGCCACACCCGTGCAAGGCCAGGCATGAACCCCGAAACATGGGTGTGGGGGGCAGAGTGGAGGTGGGACAGGGGAGAGGGTGGATGTGCCACAGCACACACAGAACAGCCAAGGAAGAGCAGCTCTGGGAAACCTGCAGGAACTCTCCAGGTGCCCGCAGCAGAGAAATGAGAAAAGAAATATTGCATGTCTCCGCAGGGCAAATGGGGTGTTCCTACACTGCGACGCCTAGACGCCACACAGTGCCTGAAAGGGATGTGGGCCTCCCCTGAGCGTGAAGGGCACAGCACACACTGCTCTTCTGTAGCACCTGGAACAGAGCCCAAACTTCCCACATCCCACAGCCTACAGACCCTGGGCAGCCTGACACCACTGCCTCCCTGAGCATGCCATGTACCACCTGGGGAGGTGGTCAGTCTTTCCACCTAGCCACTCAATCACCCTTCTCCCCTCAGGGGGTCAAAGCTCTTCCCACTCCAGGTCTGGGGTCCTGGAGCATTCTTTTTTCTTTGTTTGTTAATTCTCCTGAGGATATTTTTCCATTGCTTTTCAGAGAGAGTGGAAGGGAGGGGGAGAGACAGAGAAACAGCGATGTGAGAGACACACATCGACTGGTTGCCTCCAGCACGTGCCCCACCAGGGCCTGGGTCCAGCCAGCAACGGAGGTATGTACCCTTGACTAGAATCTAACCCGGGACCCTTCAGCCAAGGGCCGACACTCTGACCACCGAGCCAAACTCGCCAGGGCTAGCGCACTCCTTCTTCAAAGCTCCACCTATGTCACCTACTCCTCATTACTTAGTCTCAGCTCAGACCTCACCTCCTCCGGGAGGCCCTCCCTGACCACTCAGTCTAAATGAGCTTATTTCCACCCAGGTGCCCTTACTATTTTTCTCTGTTCATCGCCCTTGGTGCTCTCTGAAACGCTTTGGTGTGGTCACTTCTTCATTTTCAGTTTTCCACAGTGAAAATGAGAAGCCAGGCACTGGGGAACCCCGCTTATTCTTGTTGTTGCACCTAGTACGTGGTCAGTATTTGATACGGTTGCTAAATGACTGAACACTTCTTCACCTCAGGAGGCGCGATGCAATTCATCGTTTCTCCTTCTGCTTTGGTTGCCAGGGAGCTCCAAGTCAAATACGTAACTCATTCATACCGTCTTGGTTAATCCTTTCAGTTGGATATCTGAATTCTCCCTTGGCCCTTGACCTCAGTTTTCTACTTCAGACTCTACCTGCTAATACTTTAATTATTAATCATCACATAGTAAGCAACCCTCAGGCTTTTAGGGGTCCAAGGCCAAGCATGTAGTAGGCCCCACATAGTTACCCTAAAGGGCCCCTCAATTGATGGAGCCCTGAAGTGTCAGTCTTACCCTGGCACGCTCACTCCACCCTTGCCCCACTCTGTTCTGGTTTCTTCCTGCCTCAACTCAATGCCTCCTGTCCCTATACCCTGCCCTCACTCTCTGGACTCTGGCAGGCCTGTCCCCCTGGCCCATGGACTGTGACCATGCATATCCCAGCCCCAGGAAACCAGGGCAGCCAAGTGCTGGGTTTCCTGCCAAGGCCTCGCACCTCTCTCACAGGAGCCAGGTTTCAGCCGCTTCCCGGTACTCTTTCACAGGTTACCATTGTCATGACTCCATCTAGGACTCTCACAGCTAGGCCAGAGTCTAGGAGAAGGGAGGGCAGCAGCTGTGGCCAGAACTGGGAAGACCAAGCTGGATGCCTTACCTGGGGTCTCCCCAGGCCTGCCTGACTTCCCACGTGACCTCGAGCAGGTGTGCCCTCTTTCTGGGCCTAGGCTTTTCACCTGATGGAGGGGAGGAGCCTGGTGACCTCTGGCATCTGCCATGGTTCTTAGTCTAAAATGAGTCTAGCTGCGCCTAGCTGGGTGTGGCTCAGCGGTTGAGCATCGACCTCTAGGATCCAGGAGATCGAGGTTCAATTCTCGGTCAGGGCACATGCCCAGGTTGCAGGCTCAATCCCGGGGGGGGGCCGTGCAGGAGGCAGCCGATCAATGACCGTCTCATCATTGATGTTTCTCTCTCTCTCTCCCCCTCCTTTCCCTTCCTCTCTCTGAAACCAATAAAGATATATCTAAAAATAAAATGAGTCCAGCTGGGAAGCCCGGGGTCTTTTTTTTTAAATTTATTGGGGTGACATTGGTTAATAAATTATATAGGTTTTATTGTGTATAGGGATCCCACACTCTTGGGGGCAGAGAACCTGTTGCATCCCTGACCCCACCAGGGCAGGCTAACAGCACCAAGTTCTGGTGCAACCCCACCCAGCCTCCCCTCTGCTCCCACAAAGGGAACCAGGAGCTGACTGAACGCCTCAGCCCCTGAGGAGTGCTGCGGAGCCCTCTGGAAAGAGCTCACAGCATGCAGCCTGTGGGCCCAGTTTGGTCTGCAGGTGGGATTTAAAATCTTAAATGAGCTGCCATAGTAAGAAACTAGGAACTGTCACTCAATAGTCTGAATTTCTGGTTTTGCTTTAAAGCGGGCTCTCTGGCCCTGCCAGGCAGACAGCGGGCTGTCGCAGCCAGCCGCTAGGGCAGGGCAGCAGCTTTCCAAGTCACTCAGACACCACCATACCCACATGACCTCCTACGCCCCCTGCTGCGCCCTGGCACTTTTAGCACAACAGTTTTCAACAAGTGTTTAGCAGTACAAGTTCTTAGAACAAAACCTTAAACTTCAGTCCAATATAAAAATAGGCCAAATAGAACAGCTTTGATTGGATGGTGACAGGGGCGGGCTTATCCTGCCCATCCTCTCAGCAGAGGCCTTTGAGGCCTGTTCATAGAGCAGATTGAAAGTCACTACTACAGAAGCCCCAATCCCTGCAAAGTTTCACTTTCTACCAATGGATACTGCTGCTTTCATACTCCCAGAGGCGGGGGTCATTACCCCGGAGCAGCCTAGTCCATCCCTGGTGTCTGCCTGCTTATGACACTTTGTCCCTTCTCTGGGGGACCACAGACTCCCCTGCTTCCCCTGCAGGATGGACAGGAACTGAGTCCCTCTAGGCTGTGCTCTCCCAGGCTGAGCTGCCCCTCCCCTGGCTGCTCCTCCCGGTTGGCAGCCCCCAGGCCCCTGGCCTTGTACCTTCAGCTCGTTGAGATAGCGTCTCGTGTGCACCACCAGCAGGTCCTCATCTGAGGCTTCCCGTGCCTCTACCAGCATGCCGTCTGACAGAAGCTTCTCTTCTGAAACCAGAAAGTGGGCAGCATGCTTCCCTGCCGGGAGGGCCCCGCCAGCCCCAGACCCTCCCCAGGCTGCAGACCTGGCCTCTGGCAGCCCTGCCCCAGTGGGCACTGCTGTTTTAGGGGCATTCTGACAATGGGCCACCTCCCAGGCAGTGTGAACAATGGCTAGGCCCTTAGGCCAGGGGACTTCCGACATTGTGCACACAAAGATTCTTTCCAAGCCACTGAAAGCCATGAGGTGAGCTCAGGTCTGTCTGGACAACTTTCAGAGGCAGATGACACATGGGCCAATGATGTTTACTCTCAGGTGAGAAAAGCTCCCTCCACTTCTGACGACATCATGGGAGGCTCAGTGTGGTGCAGCCTCTCTTTAACACCTGCCTGACCCATGATCCATCTCCCTTTTTAATCCCCAAAAGCAGTCTCACAGCCTGCAGCAACAGTAAGCAGCCTGAACCGAATTATACTCTTGCTTTCAATGCATTTATATTTCCCATGACTTTCTATTTATGGCAAGTGAAACCAGCTTTTCCCATTTAGATGACATATGTTCCCTTTTAAAACAAATTTATTTAAGTTTTTAAAAATAAAGGCTAAGTCAATAAAAAACATGAAGTAAAAGTGGAACAGGTGGTATGAAGAGAGGGCAAGGTCCCAAGAGTGGTTTGCAAATGACTAGTGTTTAGAAAACCCTGCAGTATTTCATCAGCCCTCACATACATCGGATGAGATTTGCTCCATTTTGCAAAAGAAGAAACTGAGGCCAAGGGCATGAGGTGCTCTAAGCACAGTGAGAACAGGCCCATGATGCTCTAGGTTCTAAGGAAGTCAAAGGGACAAACAAGGTCAGAATCTAGGGGACCTGTTTTAAAGAGTTACCCTTAGAAACCAACCCTGGTAGAAACCAAGTAGTTACATACATTTCCCACATATAGTTTCATATATAGCAGGTACTCTCCCTAACCCCACCCCAGGACATTCTATGGCTCCCTACTGTCTTCCGGCAAAGGGACAGCTCTTTTCTTGGAGGCATCCAAGGCCCTTCATTCACCATGTGACCTCTGCCTCCTTTCCACCTACACCCTCATAGGATAAAGGGGGTAACTCAAGAGGACTGTTGGCTCCAGATGAGGGAGACAAGGAACCCTTCTGTGAGGCTATTAGGTGAAACCCTTCTGTTGGGCTACTAGGTGATACAGAAGCCCAAGAAGGGGAAATGGGGGGAGTAACTCAGACTGGAAACAGAGCGTGAAGGACCACGTTCAGGAAGGTAAGAGAACTACAAGGTGAGGGCAGGCTGGCGCTGCTCACTTTGCCAGAGTTCTTACATCACTGCACATGACTTGTATTCTTTTCTACTTATAATTTTCTGTGAATACTCACTCTAGTCACTCCTGCAAACTGAAAATCAGTATCACTTGCCATAAACAGAAGTTAGCCAGAAATAAAAAAACAAATACAGTAGAAACAATGTTATCAATCTCTAATTTGACTCTATTTTCTGCAAGGTGCAGAGCCTCAAGCTTGCTCTGGGTTTGTTAAAAGGGAGATGGGCTTAGTGTTAAAGATGGGCTAGCCCCCAAATGAGATTTTCTCCACGGTGTGATCAGAAGGATCAAGTCATCCTACACCAGGTAACGTTTCGGGTATCACTTCCTACTTCCCTTAGGGCACCCTTGATACAGAGGGAACAAGGGAGATATCCTTGCACTAGCCTGCAGTGTTGCCTGAATTTCCCACAGCACAGTTCAAACAGTGCAAGCCTGACCTTGCCCAGTGGGATGAGCCATGAAGGGTAGGAGCCTGGAGCTCCCAGTTTCAGACACCTCTCTGCTATTTAGTAGCTCTGTGGCTGTGGGCATGCTTCCTAACTTTTCTGGGACCCAGTCTCCTCCACTTATAATCAGTGGGGATGGAGCAAAAGTTCTCTTCTTCTTGGACTCTCTGGCTTTGTGGGGGATGGACACTGGATTCCTCCAAACTCCAGCCTCCTGTGTCCATCATTAATTAGCTCCCTTTCTACTGGGCTTCCAAGGGAAGCCACGCGACTTAGGACCGCAGCGCTGGGGAGCCAGGGCAGGTGTGAGACAGAATCACGCTTTCAAGCCTGCGCTGGAAGGACTTTCCACAGTGTGCGTGGAAGGCACTCGGAGGGTGAGGCTGGCGGTGGCAGAGCCTGAAGCTTGCGCAAGGGAAGGGCGGCGGGGGAGGTAAGGGAGGCGCTGTGGGACCCGGGGGCTGCCCTACCTTTCAGGAAGCTGATCACCTTGCCCCATTTTCCCGCGTCAAAGGGATGCAGCTTCTCCAAGCCCAGGAAGGTTATGTTGTAGCGCGGCGAGTACACGATGGGCCAGCGCGCCTCGGGCACAGGCTGGTACAGCTGGGTGGCGTGTGGCCTTCAGTGTGCCCGGGGGCAGAGCAGACGGGGGCGGTCTCAGCGCGGGAGGCGTCTCCACTCGCGCCCCGGGCCGGGCCGCGCGCTCCCTCGGCCGCGGAGAAAG